TCAATTCTCTTTAGGGTTGTATGCACCTATGACGTAGTGATGTGTGTCTACTAGCAATAGTTTACTGCCCTCCAGTGTCCACCTTGAAAATGGATCAGTGCCTAGCTTCTGCGATGTAACGAGTCCGTGCACGACCATACAGCCTTGTGCTTCTGGTGGGGGACTGCAACCTACACGCAATCGAAGTCCCAGCATCGTATTGCGAACAATTCAAGGCAGATTTACAAGAGGTGATCGCCGATGTACCTCTGTACAACCATGTCACCTCTCCCACGCGATTCCGAACGGGTGACACACCCTCTGTTTTGGAACTTGTGCTCTCCAACGAGGTACTAATGGTCGACACCGTGACTATAGATGCACCACTTGACCGCAGGGATTACTCTATGTTGCTCTTTCGTTACTTCTGTTACTCCGAGTACATCAGTGCGAACAATGTGGAAACTTATGTCGTTATTACGATAAACTGTCCAAGCTCATTCAAGCAACCGACTGGTCCTTCCTGGCCGAGAAGCCGCCCAATGTCGTCTGGATGTTGTTCGTCGTCCAATTCACTGAGCTAGTGGCAAATGCTCCAGAAAGCCAAGTCTTTCGCCCGAAGCAAGTGAATTCGTTCCTGAGGAGCCGTACTAGAAAATCATGGCCTTAAGGGATTCAGCCTGGCGCACTTACAAATCCTGTCCAAGTAACCTGACCTGGGGTGCTTACACAACTAAACGAAACCACTACGTCAAGTTGATCCGCGAAGCCAAACTCCAGCACCAAAAGAACTTAGCGTCGAAATTCAGTACAAATCCCAAGTTGCTGTATAGACACTCCAACAAGCTCTGCAGTGCAGCGCGGGATCCGAGTTTTACGTGCAACAGATGGTCAAGTGCAAACCGCACAAGATGCGGATAACATGCTTCGCCAACACTTCATTCATACTTTCCGGAGTGCATCATCATGTCATCCACTTTTTACACAGTTTCCATCGACACCAAGGTTAAACCGAGTATCGTACATGGTAGGCAATTTGATGGAAACCCTAATCTCTTTGCGCGTGCACAGCTCACCTGGCGTGCACGATATCAAACCAAAGGCCTTGAAGACAGCGGCCATGAACCTTGCCGAAACATTAGCTCGGTCTTTTCAACATTGTCTCGACGTAATGCACGTTCCGACAATGTGGAAACACGGACTAGTCGCTACTGTTTGCAAAAGTGACGATCGTACGGGCCCTCGAACTACCATCCAACCACCCTCCTCCCAGCTTTATCCAAAGTAATGGAACGTATAATTGCAGAGGAGCTCATGAGGTATCTTGAGACCAACAACATCCTAGTGTCACGGATTCCGCCGAAATCGATCCTGCTCTACAAACTTGATGCCAGCCCGAGCGAGCTGGACAGAGTCAGCCAATGCCGGAGTGCGAGTCGAGCTTGTCTACTTGGACTTCTCGGAAGCGTTCGATCGTTTGGCTTATCGCATTCTCCTGCACAAGCTTCGAAGCGATGGAATCGGTGACCCTATACTCGGTTGGATGGGCAACTTCCTCGCTCAACGTCAGCTGAATGTGAGAGTCAGGAGCTCCATTTCCGACCCAATTGATGTCCAGCATAACGTGCCTCAAGGATCGGTACTGGGGCCACGTTTATTCCTAACCGTCAATAACAATCTAGCCAGTGTTCTGCAGTCGAGTTTCTTACTATTTGCAGATGATATCAAAATTTTGCATGATATCAGGACATTTGATGATCACATTGCATTGCAGAGCGATTTCGACAGGGCTTATGAGTGGTCATCCGACAACCGGCTCCAGTTCAAAGTGACCAAGTGCAAAATCTTAAGCATACGCCATCAGCTTATCTGTGAATCTCGACTTGGACACCAGCAGTTACAATGTGCTTTCCAAGATAACAATCTCGGGGTGATCGTGCAGGACAACGTTGGTTGCTCGAGACTGGCTGAAAAGGCAACATAATAGCTGTCAACATCTTGGACTCTTACGGAACGCTTTCGGAAATTTTGAGCCATCAAATTTTCCGCAAATGCTGAACGCCTACGTGAGGCTTCACGTGGAATAAGCGATCCAGGCCTGGCTTCCCTGGCGCAAGCGTGACGTCGATGCACTTGAAGATGCACAAGGTAGGGCGGCCAAACTCGTTAGAGGATGGTTTCATCTCATTTACCAACTTAGATTGTACAGTGCGAAGTATCGAAGTCAGCGAGGAGATCTAATCATGGTTTACTTAATATTGGCGAACCCAACTCACCCATGTCGCATTCTGTTGCAGCTGAGCCGAAATACCGACCTGAGAGGTCATCAGCTCAAATTGGTTACGCACTACCGTTGACTTGATTGTCGACGCAACGTTTTCCCCCTCCGTGTGTCGCGTGCCTGGAATGCCATTCCGACTCACGTTATCCTTACCCCTACATTAACGCGGTTAAAAAGACGCCTTGATGAAACGCTTTCTTACTTGCACTACTTGATATAGTCCGTTCCACTTGGAGCACGAAACAACGCAAATCTAACCATGTGCTTAACGGTTCTATCCGCAACGTGGCAGTGATTATACAGGCATGAGTGCCCTTGTGAATAGCATGGACGTATCTAAACTAGATTACCATATCACATCTGTCAAATGAAGAAACAAAGGAGTGAGCGTTGTCGTTTCCTATTTTTATTTGTCACGGATTTAGGGAACCATAACAGCTCTCCATATTATTTTGCGTGTGTACATCCCATTCCCACTTCAAACTATCGTTATCCAGTAGTGCATTTAACTCGGTGGACGCTTGAAATAACCATTTACTTATTCCATGATTCTTCAACTTATAATTTTTACTCCAACCATCCTACGGGACTTGTCAAGCACATGCTTTTCTACCCGTGGTAAATCACTGTTCATTGTTCATTGTCATGAACACCAATCGCCTGTTTTTTTCCTTCTACCTTGTAACCATGCGCTCGGTCCTTTACCTGGTCGGATGACCTATGCTCCCAATTTAGTGTTTATTCAACTCAATACTTCGACTCGGCGAACGGCTGCTCTGCTCACAAGTACAACGATCTACGAGAGAGCGAACCGAGAACTGCGCTGCTGTGTAGGCTAGTATTCGTATTTTAGCTAATACAATTCATTGCCGAAATTTTTCTAATTCACTGATTTCTTGCTAGTGATTTCTCACTGAGAGTTAATCAAGAGTGGTTGGGTGGTTTGGTTACATGTTTTGATGCATATGATTTTGCTAATAATTTTGTTCAGCAGCAGATTGATTACCCAATACTCATATATTTGCCCTTCTTAAAATTCCACTTTGCTCCCTTAGGTGTAATTGCCCCCAGGTTGATAACCACAGGTCTATATTGAATTGTCTGTTTTGATAACGTGAGTCGAAGTGACTGAATCAATCGCAGATGTCACATAGTAAAAACTTGTACTGAGCCGAATGTTATGACGTAGCCTCTAAGACGGTGTGCTGAAGCGATACTGACGGGTTGGTTCAGTCAGTAAGCGTCCAGCTAGGCGCGGCATCCCCCCGCTGCATTCCCTTATCTGAGAGGATTCGTTGCCCGATGCCTAATGATGATCACTCATTTACCGATGAACGTGTTGTTGTATGATAATGGTGTACTGCCGCGTACTATGCTAGCTTCGAGTACACACGATTCTGGTGTTCCAAAGGTAATTAACCGTCTGACAACACCACATTTAATGTCTGCTGAAGAATACTGACAGTTGCCATGGAGGAGGGGGTGATCAGTCTTCGTGCCTGCGCTATACTCAAAAGGGGATTCTATCATGAAAAGTCGTAACGTGCTTTTTTCTCAACATGGGATAATACTCTGCAACTCCCTGGTAGTGTGCGTGTTGATAGAGTGAACCAACCATAGCTTCACCTCGTCTACCGTCAAGTCTACTTCCTTCGGAATGACAGTATACGCGGACTGTGGATACAGCGGAGTGACCCGTTATCCCTCAGTCGGCGCAGGCGTCCTGTGATTGTTCACAATCAAAGTGACGGGAAGCTGAAGTAACGGTTGACACTGACGGCCACTGATACCTCCTGTCCACTCTTACTGATTTCAGGCCGAACAAATACCACCAGCTGCTGCGCATGCTGGCTGATAAGAATGTTCAAAGCTGCCGTATGAATATAACTGCGGGTTCGTGTGTGCAAACGTCAAAGTCAAAGAGAGTTTACCGCTGGCGAATTTGTGAAGTCCAAGCTTGTGTTTTATGATAACTGGAGGCGGAGGAATTGGCTGACAACAGTTTGGTGTCTGGTCGATATATCGCGGCTGGTATGTGAGCAATATGTCATTCCCTGGCAGAATTCCGAACTAAACATGGAGTGTGCAAGCACTCAATAATAAATCAAACACTTGTACATGGCAAACCTCACTGTAACGGTAGGTAAAACATGCTTTCAAGGACGGTGTGTTGTCCGGGATGGTGAGCCGACGTTAGAGACTTGTAGGAGGACATGGTACAGCAAAAGTACAAGGTTTTCTAGTCTGATCCGTGATCAGTTTGCTGGGATCTAGACCTAAATTACATCGGCCTCGAATTTCTCTGATTTTGAGTGGTCGCCGGCTTCCTTGACACTGCGCACACGGTTGTCTGAGGTCATTCATTATGAGGGATGTCGCCTGAAACTCCCAAATCCAAGCTTGTGCTCAGGGGCCCGCTGCAAATTAGTTGCCTCTGTGCAACTGGCTACGGATCAGCTCATTTAATAAGGCCTCTTCATTTTAGAATAATCTTAGTAACGCTAACGGACTGTTGAATGAGACCATTTTCAGTGATTATCACTCAATCGAATGCAGTGAGACAGCTGACTTATGTTCATGAGGCCATGCATAGTGCGTTGTTTTTGATTGCTCCCTTACTAACGTGGATCGATTCGAGACGAGAACATAACCGCATCTGGCAACATAAGATTTAATGCTTTTTCATATCGCTACCCACATCAAATTTAGAGGTGCTAACAGAAAAGAAGTGACTACTTACTTCTTTGCATATTTCCATCAGCAACGGGATATCGTCTTCCGCTCTGCACTGTACCACCACTCGACGCATCCTTCTGTGTGAATGCCCGGGATCCGTATATCTGGATATTGGTTTCTTGCTTTTCTACCATACAGCAATCGGTATTGGAGAGCCGATTGGCTGTCTTCTCTTCACAAGCCCAGACATGCCGCACTTTGGGCTTTGGTCTAATTCCGAGACAATCGATGCTACATGCGTCAAGAGTGATTATGCAACCAATAGCCTGAACTTTGTCTACACGCACAGCGGTACGCGTTGGATGCGCGATAATCATTCATACGAACAGAGGCACACGATGCCGGATCGATTTGGATCCACTCTGATGCGTTATGTATCACCATGAGCGGTACCCTATTGCTGAAATTAATATCTTTGTGTGTTTGTATTTTTGTGTTGATTTGCAGTTCTACTGAACCAATCCGTTGTAGTTGACCGGGGCAGTTGTTGCCTAGTTGGCGATGCTGGCAACTACCATCCTGCTCCATAAGTCACAGCGGCAACATTCAGTTGTTTGGATTATGGGGTGAACGTTTTCATGCAGTTTGCTAGCTTTGATGTCGCTTGGTAAGCATATATCGCTTTCAGAGGTGAGTTCAAATCTGTCGAATCGGTAGGATTTTCACAAACAGTGGAGTGCTCTGCTACACATGTAGTGAAGTCATCAGAACAAATCAAAATAGACCCCGTGGACAATCACACTATTACCGCGGACCAAGTGAAACATAATATCAGCGAACTATACTATCCATTGAAATTAGGGTGGCGAGTTGGAAATCATGGCTAGTTTAGTGGCGAAAATTCGGTTTCGTCTTTGTTTGGACTGATTGGGTAGAAATACAGAAACAACTCCACGTCGGATGTAGTCCATATGATCGGAGCGACTAAGGTCTACTTCGATGCAAGCAAAAACTTAAACTAACATTGGATGTTACAATCCGAACTCACAGCGGGTACTCCGTAATGTCCTGCTGTTAGCTAATTTAAGATTTCCCTTTCTGTGTACGAAAGTGACGGTCTGCAAACTACATGTAGTCATACGTAACCTTGCAATAAATGTACATAATATGGTCGGGATTCACAAACAGCAAGAGGGATAGAAAATGAAGCAGGAAGTGTTGGTTTATCACACGGTATTGCCTTTCCTTTGTCAATTTGGTGCTTGTAATGTCAAGTAGTTGCAACTAGACATACATTAACGTCATGTGCTTAAGTATTTCGAGACAGCAGTATACTTCATTTTGTATCCTCAGCCCGGAAGTCGTGCTGCACGAAACCAAGGTGTGAATGATTATTTATCGCCGCCAAACGTTCAACCAATCTGCAAACTCACTTCTCCAGATTGCGTGATGCACGTTACTTCTGTGTGCATTTTTGTGCGCTTATGGCTTCCGAGTGTACTGCGGCCGTCGAGGTATCGGTTTAATCAGCTGTTTTTCGTTTCTGTCTGGCTTTATTGGTACTTTTATACTATTGTCACTAGGCGGAGTAGTAGCTGCTTTTGGCCCACCATAGTAAAGGACCGACAACAGCTAGACTGCAAGTCAGACTCTTGACATCTTGTCCACATGCGGCAAGTTTACAGCTGCTATATTTCTTCCATTGTATCGACTTACGAGCGAATGGAGCGCATCGGTGTATCGTCCGCATAATATGCATTTGAAATGAGCAAGCCAGCTCAATTGCCGCAGCTATGCGATCTCGATGAGAGGAGGGCCCGCATTACTTAGGGCACGAAATCCAAAAGTGTCGTTGCAGACTTGTTGTTTCCGCTACTGCTTGGATATAATCCGCAAACATGCGTTCTGAAAGGCCGAAATCCGATGTATCTCGTTCACATAAATCCACCAGAACTCACTTCGGTGCAACCTCACCAAGCGACCGCAGGCATTATAGACATGGTCAGAGAGTGAAACGTCCCGTCGACACCACTAATGTCTCTGGCGGACGTTGATTGGGCTTGCGTAAAACGAAGAGAAATCTCATTTTCAATGTTGCCGTCCGCAAAGACGCAGCTCCATAGGTAGACAATGTCGTTGATATGTGAGCACGAGGCACCAATCCCTTTGAAGTAAATCTGCGTCATGTGGACAGCCTGAACTACATCTGAAGCGACCGTTTTGTTTCTCACTGCTACCATCACACTCACCGGACGGTTTCGGTTTTGCTTACATTCTTCTGGCACAGATTACAAGTGTGAAGCAGGAACTCGAGACACGGAGATTCTCCACATACACTTTGACCACAATACCTCTGAATTGCGCTGGCAAAGCCTGTCACAACACTTGAGAATTTGCCGTTGGCAATTTGGATTATCCGTTAGATGTTTGGATTACTACATTCCATCTTAATTTGTATGGTTGGTCCTCTGAAAACAGTCTGTCACCTAACAAAGTTAAACCTTTCGTTACCAACTATCCACCACGTTATTTCACGCGTCCGTCCAAGTAGGTCGCAAATCAAATAGTCCAGCCACAAATTCGGAGAAGCACCAGACGATCATTTTGCCCAGTTGAGGTTGATCAATGATGGGTATTCCTTCGGTTTCCTTCAGAAAAGCGAACCCGTGACACTCAGCGCCAACAAGCCAGCAACTTATATCACTGAGCCATGGGGGACGGTGACAAATCGACACGCCTTGCAAGCTAACGGGGATATAGCGCAACCAGTTAGATGCTAATGACATCAGATGGTTATCCACTGCAAGTTTGGGACCAGCACATTAGTGTGTGTATAGGGCTGTGTTGTAGCTAGACTGAATTAGTCACTTTGGTTGCCGCCATGCCCGTGGTCCAATACCGTGACCAAAAATAAAAGAGGAGCATCATAGTTTCTAGCATCGCAACGCGTAGATGGAACACGCACTGCTGATGAATCCTAAAACTCCAGACAAGCACTCAATGATCAACCGGCTGGGTGTAACCGCGATAGACCCCCGTTGAAAGTAATCCAGCTACCATTATTACTACTCCCTAGAGGGGAGGGCGGTGCACCCTGTCTGTGAATGTTCTAAAACCCATTTCCCACTTGAAAGGCGGTCGTTGGTTGTCAGAGTAGGGGAAATACGTGGTTGACATTTAGCATGAAAAAGAACAGTCAGCGGCCGCGAATACTCACTGTAAAAAGAATCCATACTGTCATTTCATATCTCCATGGATTAGAGTTGCGATCAACACTCGAAGCTAAGCAAGCATCCACACACTCCTTGTGTTAATCTATGAGTCGGCTACATCAGTATAACACTGAGAACCTCGTTTCTGCAAGTCTTAGGTGACACACACGGCAAACGACTGAGGATTCGGGGCCTTCGTGATAACGTGGATAAATGCACTCGAACACTGCAAATCTCTAGTTAAAACTCCATACTTTGAAAACTGATCATAGTGTAGCGAAAAAGACAAGACAGGGGGAGGGTAGACGTTTATTGCACACCGAAGATGGGCACATGAGGGTCTCGCGCGCGCCATCGAATATCGACTAGATTTCCGTCCCACAACGCAACACAGGTACGGATGTTAGAGACGAGCCAGTCCTTTCGCCTCGGGAGCTCTGACTTGGAAGATCCGCCTTCCTGTTTTCGCCTCGATCCCCACTTCTCTGTACCCGATTTGGATCGGCCAGGAGTCGTTCGAGAGCTCTCCACTTGCTTGTTCTGGGCTGTGTCAATCGGCTCGGCCTCGGTCCTGTGGGCTGCGCTAGCGGCGTATATGTCTGATTTATTGCGCTGTCCCCATATTCCCGCTCCGTAGTTCCGGGCCCAGGCTCGTCGCTAGCCGTCCTTCTCGATCCGCTCTCAGCTAGCTCCGAAGAGCTCCCCCGACGCATTCTTGGAAGCGGCCCCTCTACAATATTGCCAGCTTTTTAAACGGTGACGGAGGACATTGCTTACTAATAAGTATGAGGATTCCTACTGAAATTTTATTGATTTGTCCCAGCAGATCACAAGCTAGCTAGTCTGATCTCCAATCCAGAAAAGCATCAGATGATCGGTTCGCCTTCAGTGTTGTGCATTCACTCGGTTCTCTACAGCAAACCGAAGCCTTGACGACTAGCAGCCTGCGCTGGCCAGCAATTTATACCGTTGAGTCATGGGGGAGGCGGTGACAAACTCGCACAGCCTGCAAACCTGTGATTCAGAGATTCAGATCACTACCATCACAGATGATTGTGGCTGACGTTCAGAGATCACGAATTCCACCATACATCTGCTATGTACGCATAGCATTTGAAGACTGTGAGGTTTCTGTGTTGAAGTTTGAGTCTAGCAATCCAATCGATATCCAGCATGCGTTTTCGACCTTTGACGGCATCATAGCTCACACAATACCAAGGGTTTCTCCTCACTATTCAGCCCATTTCGGTGTCGGCGTATGTAGGGTGAATAAGGCAAAACTTGTTGCGAATGAAACGTTCTTTTTTGTTTCTGCATCTACTTATCAATGCATTGCCGTCATCTTTTTCCGGACTTGCATTCACTGTGACCTCCATAAGACAGCCACAGGACGCCTGTGACCACACTGCGAATTTGCATTAATAAACTCCTTGATTAGCATTCAGTGCAAGTGCCAGCACCTGCAATTCCAATGAAGCATAGCTATCAGCATACACTTCATCGCAATACCCATACGTCTGGGGAATTGGAAGTCCGCTCATCAAACTACGCTGTCCAGTTTCATCAGCTACGTTCAACGCTTGTCCCGTGAGACCGATAAGTGAAAGCGCCGAATTCGAACACACCTTGAATTTCTCAGAGGAGCTATAAGGCGTCTCCGAATGGATAATCAACAAATCGTGCACGCTAATCGGATTACCTGTACCTAACTTATCCTGTCGTCCGAAACTGCTGTTGGAGCGACCGCGGGCGTCATTTTTCAGCTCTAGCTCGGAATCCTCGATCTTTGGTTGAATTCCTGTAAACAGCTGTTTGGGTACTGCCGCTTTGGTCGCACTGCATAAAGCTAGCGCAAAATTACGAGTGGTGCTGTTCACATGGGCTTACCGCCCGTGCAGCAATCAACTGCAATTCTGACACTATCACCTACCTCCAATGAAGGAAGGACACCAATTCATTACGTCACTAACTCAAACGCGCTGGTCGTCTAGTCCATGGAATAACCGTTTCCTTTTCCATTGTAACACCCTCGTTTGGTACAGTTGCCCAGTAGGAGCGGAGGCTTCGATTCATGTGCAGTGTGTCCTGCGCGTGACAGTAGCTTTTCGAATTTAGGAATTCACGTGCCCTGGGAAAATTAGTCGCCAACGGATTTCTACTTCACT